GTAATATCGTAACTATCTGAATAAAGCTCATGCCAATGGCCTAAGTGGTCACCTTTAATATTAAAAAAAAAAAAAAAATCATGGTTAGGTTTAACTATCTAACTGAAGAATAAATTCAAAAAATAGACAAAAAAGAACAATATTAAGTTAGAAAAATAATTCAAAAGCATGAAGAATATTTAGAAACTTAAAGAATTAGACAAGAAATTAAAAAAAATAAATAATTAGAACAAGCAAAATTCTCTGATATTTGAAAAATAGTTCAATCTTGGAAAAAATCTAATAATGATATTTTTATTTTAAATGAATATTTACATAATTCTCAAGAGAAAGTTTCTAATCCACAATTATATAAAAAATTTCTTTGGATCATTGAAAAAATACTTTACTACTGTCAAAAACTTAAATTAAAACAAGATAACAAAGTATTTCTGAGATATAAAAAGTTACAAGATAATATAGCAAATTCATCTAATCCAAACAAATACGTGATCGATCTTTTATTAAAATATAGTAAAATTGATTTTAAACCACAACTTTACAAAGAGAAACCAGAACTTTTATTTCCAATTTTTAAATTAGAAAAATATTTTAAGCATATTGGTTGGCAAATTCCAGATTATGAAAAATACAATACTTAATTAAAAACAATAGCTAATGTTGAATTAAATACTCTTTCACAATAGATTCAAAAAAAATTTAACTAGTATAATTAACCAATAAATCTATTATATGCAGAAAAGAATTTATTAATTGATAATGAAAATTTATATCAAATTGTTGTTGAGAATATTAGTTCTATTATTGATATCTGCAAAAAATATAAATGTTAAAAACAAATTATCTTTATTTAAAATATCAAAAAATGCATGTTGAAATATTTAAATCTAGATTTTCAAATAGATATATAATTGAATTAGCTCAAAAACTTGTTAGGTTTCAAAAAAATTTTAATCCTGTAAACTATTGTTAAAAACCAGATCTTCTTCAACCAATTTTATATTTAGAGATAGTTTTTCTTAAAATCTCACATCAAATAAAGCAATATCAAAAAATATCATAAAGAATTATTTAATAAATAGTAAATCATTATAGTATTTGTTATTACACTAATATGTTGTTTGGTTGGCTGCTAAAGAAAATATCACATGCTTACTCAAACAATCTCTAGCTTCTAAACTTTTGCATATGTTGATTAGTAATTTCTAAGATAAATGAACACCTATTGTGTTAAAACACATGTTTCTTCAAATTACCTGTTTTGAAAACTAATTGTTTTTACTTTATCTCAGAAATTAAAAAAAAATACAATCGAATAATATTAAAAGTGTATTAAAATAAGATTAACAATTTATTTACAATTAAAATAACAATATAAAAATACAATACAATATAAATATATAATAACAATATAAAAAAATAACTATAAATTAAATGCTAGTATTCGTCTCCAAAATACAAACTTTTATTCTTGTAAACTATTGTATTTATTCTTGCTAATGAAGAAACATTATGAATTTTACTAAAATTATAATTGTCTATAACAATTTTTGAACCATTTAATTTCTTATCTATATTCATATCACATCTTCATTTAACAACAACTTTGATAAGAGCGAAAATTGGATATTATAATTTTTTTTCAATTATCTTATTGATATCATTTATTAAAAACGCAAAAAAATATATATGATTTTAGCAAAATTTATTTTTTCAATATAGTTTGCCAACAAGTTATCGAAAGATTAAACAGAAATAGTAAAATACAAAATATTTAAATAGATTTAATTTTATTGATTTATATAAATAGATAATTATTTAACCAAGACACCAATTAGAATTTACCAGTTGTATCTATTCTTAATTTAGCATTATTATTTAATAAACTTTTTACATAATAGAAACTTAAAAGCAGCCAATTTTTGCTTTATGATACTTAAGTTTTTATAAACTTTTAACACTTTTAAAAACAATTTTAAACCAATTTTAAAAATTTTTAATACATTTATTTAAAATTTAAAATGCTTTTTTTCAAGAAATTTACCAACAAATTCAACAAAAAACAAACTCTTGTTACTTAATATGAAAAAACTTATAATACTTTGGAACAAGAAGAAAAAATTTATATATTGCCAGAAGTTTAACAAACTTCTAATATAGATTGTAGATATGATTGTGACCAGGAGCCTGCTTCTCAAGAATGGTCATCTGTTTGACCACCAAACAAGAAAAAACTTATGAGTTTAATTCCAGTTTAGCCATCGAACAAGAGAATCATTCTAAAAATTTAATTAGTGATAAATTCTTTTATTAACTATTTTTATTTTTTATAATTTTAATTATACCTTTTTTGTTTGTTCATGTAATTTTCTTTTTTGTTATTATTATTGTTGAGTTAAAATCTGTTTTAATAAGGCTGGAGTTAAGTAAAGGAGATTACGACTACATATTAGACCCATTTCAAATTCTCTTTATCCAAGTACAAATTAATTTGTATTTCTCTGGTGATGATAGATTCACAGTAGAGGATATTGTAATGCGTGTAAGAACGTACGTCTTAAAAATCCCTACTTGGTAGGGTAAACTAGGAAAGGGTTTGCGTAATGTTCGACGATACTACTACTATGTCTTGAAAGAGGACGTTCGATTTGGCGAGGCAAATATATGCTTTATTAATTAGAGTATTCGTGAGACACCTTACACTTAATAAACGTTTATGCTTTTATACTAATTACATATCTACATAATATGCTATATATGCTAATTATGCTAGTTATTCTATATATGCTAGTTATGCAGTTTCGATCAATTCTGCTACTTATGCTAAATCTACCTGATATGCTACTTTCGCTAAATCTGCTAAATATTCTAGATAGTATAATTATGTAATATAAACAATTATGCAATCGATTCACTATTTGCGCCTAATGCATCATCGATCTGTTCTTAGTCATTACAATATGATTAATAATTTAGTTTCTGGGTTATTAAAAGTTAAAGACTTACCAACTATTAGGGTTTGTTTTAATAAAAATGACCAATATATTTTAGCTAATAACAGACACCTTTTCTGTTATCAAGAATCTATTCGAAGAGGTGCTAACTTAATCCTGGTGCCTATACGAATAGTGCAAGAAAGTAATAAAAGTTGTGAGTTTAGTTGAAAGCAAGAAAAGAGCTTACAAATAGTTGAAAACACAATTTGGAACAATGTAGTTGTATCTTATCTAGCCAGACTAGATAGAAATTGCTATGAGAATGAAAAAACATGGGCCAAAAAATCTTAGTTTATTTATTTTTTATATTATACTTTATTTATTTATTTATATTGTATTTTATATTATATTTACTATATATTACAATAAACTATATATTTTAAACTACTGTATATATTCGATTAAAATTATTTATAAATAGTAAAATAAAATTAGTTTAAAATATACTAAATTATTTATACAGACTATATTAAAATATATACTATAAAATTTATATTATATTTTAAATATTTATATAAGTTTTAAATATATACTTTTAAAATTTATATATATATAGTTTATGATTTTATATATGGGGGGCTGGTAATCATACCCCCCACATTTGGTATTCATACCTCCCAGAAAACTAAAAAAAATTAAAATTTAAGCAAAGATATATTGATGTCCACCTGATCAAACTCAACAAATTTTTTTATTTGAATTTTACAGATTCGTAGAATTTAAATAAAAAAAAAAATTTGTTGAATTTGGTCAGGTGGTCATATAGATATCTTTGCTCAAAGTCAAAGAAAAATTAAAATGTTTATAAAAATAGAAGTTGTATTAAATTATTTTTAAAACTTTGAGCAAAGATATCTCAATAGCCACTTGATCAAACTCGACGAAAATTTTTTTATTTAAATTTTACAGATTCGTAGGATTCAAATAAAAAAATTTTGGCAAATTTGGTCATGTGGTCATCAAGATATCTTTGCCCAAAGT